GCCCAGAAATCAGGATTTTAAAAAGATTCCCAGGTGATTCTAATGTGCAGCCAAGGTTGAGAACCACAGCCTTAAAATAAGAGTATCCTGTCGTATCCAGGTGGGCCCAATATAATCACAAGGGTCCTTAAAAGATGGAAGGGGGAAGGCAGAAGACTCACTGTCAGAGCCACATGAAGTGAGAAAGACACAACCAGCCATTGCTGGCTTGGAAGATGGAAGGGGCCACCAGCCACGGAATGTGGGCAGCCCCCATAAGCCGGAAAAGGCAAGAAAATGGATTCTCGCCCTGGTCGGTTTGGCTCAGTGGATAGAACGTCAGCCGCGGGACTGAAGGGGCCCAGGTTCAATTCTGGTCAAGGGCACATGCCTGGGTTGTGGGCTCGATCCTCAGTGGGGGGCGTGCAGGAGGCAGCCGATCAATGATTCTCTCATCATTGATGTTTCTATCTCTCTCTTCCTCCCTCTCCCTTCCTCTCTGAAATCAATAATATATATATATATATGGAAATGGTTTCTCTTTGAGAGCCTGCAAAAGGTACACAGGCTTGCTGACACCTTGATTTTAACCCAGTGACATCCATTTTAGACTCCTGACCTCCAGAACTCTACCCTATTAAAATTTGTGTTGTTTTAAACCATTATATCTGTGGTAATTTGTTACAGCAGCAAGAGGACATGAATTTACCTGTGAAAACTTGATTCATGTCATTTAAACACTTCCCTTTTGCTTTGCTTTTAGCCTTAAATGTGCAGTGGATTGCATTTTACATAGAGGTTGGGTTAAAAAGTCAGCATGTGAACGAAAAAAAATGTAGATCGAAATTAGCCTCGAATACGCTTTCAATTGCTCAGTATGTTGAGTGCACGGACCAGGATCCACTGACATGAGCAGATAACATTCCCCAAGGTGTCCTCATCCCGGGACCAGCTCAACAAGCCACACTCTTTGAATCCTCTCTCCCTCTAGGCATAGAATTAAATTTGCATCAGTTCAAAGACCCTCTGCTGCAACTCCCCCGTAATTTCAGATTTTGCGTTTTTCCCCTGAGCTGGCTAAGGAACGTGTGGAAAAACAAAACCTTCTATTTGTGTTGTGGCTTGTTCTCTTTTATTATGAAAAATACCGAACATTCAGAGAAGTCTGGAGAGACGATAACCCATGTCTGTGAGCACATCACCCACCTCTGACAAATTCTAACATTATTCTAATTTGATTCAGATTAGACATGAATGAAATGAAACGTTGCACATACAGTTGAAACCCAGTGTCCTCCTTACCTTTGCAGATGCCTCCCCACTTCCCCTTCTCCCACCCCCAGGAGCCTCTCCCATTTTGCTATTTAGAGCATTCCTGGACAAGCTTTTCTACCTCTAGTACTCAGATCTGTTTGTACCCATCAACAGTAAAATACCAGTTTACATGTTTAGGAAGATTCCATAAATGGTACACTTGCCTCTGTCCCTCTTCAGTTTGCCCCCTTCATTCCAGCTCGGCATTGTTTCTGAGATCTGTCCACATTGATACCTGTAGCCCTGGTTCATTCTTTTTAACTGCTGAGTAATACTCGGTTTTATGAAAACACAGTTTGTTTATCTGCTCTTCTGTTTCTAGCTATTTAGGTTGTTTCCAATTTCTCTTTATTACAAACAAAGCATCAGCGAACATTCTTGTCCATTGCCTTGTGCCCCTAGGCTCGAGTTCCTCCAAGGTATGTACTGAGAAGGGGAATTGCTAGGTCAAAGGATGCACTTAGCTTTAGCATCACTGGTTATTGCCAAATTGCCTGACAGGATAGTCACACCAGTTTCCCACAGGCACTGCATGTGCGGTCTCTTTAATCCGTATCCTGGCCAATATGTACTAGTGTCTGCCCATCTGATTGCTACTAAGCTTTATCCTTCTCACGTTGCACAGTTGATTTTCATGGCCACTCAGCACAGAGGACACCCGGCGGGAGGGCGTAGGGAGGCTCACGGAAAGAATGATGAGCCCAACAAAGCTAGTTGTGGCCAATCAGGAGCCAAACAAACCCAGGAGTCTTGGATCCCAGGCACTCATCACCGTGGGAACCGGACTCATGGCCAGAACACACACTCTGTCTGCAGCCACCTTTAGAGAATAAAAGGTATTTAGAGAATAAAAGATATTTGCATAATCTGTACTGTGTGGTCAATATCAAGAACTGTCCACACTAACAGAGGACAAGAAATTACCATCTTATGGAGTTTTGTATTTCACAAGGCAATATCCTATGCGTTCCTCACTTGAGCCTGACAACCCCATAAACAAGGCTTGGGTTACATCCCACCTTTCAGATAAAAGTGAGGCTCATGGCTAGTCAGCAGAATATTGGCTTTGAACCCATTTACCTTTAAAGTATGTCTTCTTATGTCCATTTGGAGATGGGTATCTGAGAGTTGGGAATTCTCAATGTTTCCCCCCACAAGTTTCACCGTAATGGAGGTCACACCACAAACACGGAGCTTTCCCCAAAGGGTGAGGCCCGGCCCTTGTGTTTGTACACCTGGAGTCAGACTGTAAGAACAGCCAGGCTCTGCCACCCAGTAGGACTGTGACCTTGGTCAAGTGCCTTCTTTTCTGTGCCTCTGTTGTCTCATCTGTAACATGGAGATGATGGCACCTACCTCCCAGCAAGGTCATATGGACCGGCTGCAGTAACACACCTAAAGGGACAGGCACAGCCCTGGCTGGCATGGCTCAGTTGGCTCAGTTGGTTGGGCGTTGTCCCATGTACTGAAAGGTCACCAGTTCAATTCCCATTCAGGGCACATGCCTGGGTTGCTGACTTGATCCTCAGTAGGGGGCGTGAAGGAGGCAACCCACTGATGTTTGCTCTCTCATTGATGTTTCTCTCTCCCTCTAAAAAGCAATCCTATATAATAAAAGAGAAACATGTAAATTGACTGTCCCTGCACTACACTCACCAGCCAATCAGGAGTGGGTATGCAAATTAACCCAACAAAGATGGTGGGTTAATTTGCATACACCGGCACCGGGCGGAAAGCAGAGCAGGAGAGCCGACAGAGTGGAGTGACTTGGGGAACTTGGCTCCCCAAGCCGCCAGATGGAGAGCAGAGAGGGAAAGCTGGCAGCTTGGAGGACTTGGCAGAGTGGGAGGCCATGGAAGAGAGACAGAGCAGGAAGGGAAAACCAAGAGTGCAGGGAGCACCAGGAATGCTGGGAATCGTAGTTCTGGTGGCAGACGGATCTCCTAGACCTAGACACTAGAGCAAAGTGAGCCTGGAGCAAGTTACTGTTGCGGTGGGGGATGGAGGGAAGGCAAAGGTGAGAGACATAAGTAAAATCAGAGTATCTAGGAAAAATTAAAGGGAAGATATCCTAAAACTTCCAGGAAATCTCCACCAATGAAGCAAAGAAAAAAAAAATGCCTCTATTATTCTGTGAGCAACAAACCAAACTGTGTTGGGGGTCTCAGACAATTTGCTCATATGATTGCAAAGACAGACAGAAACTCCCGGATTGGATAGGGCTCCCCTGAGGGCACCCAGATTGGAGAGGGTGCAGGTCGGGCTGAGGGACCCACCCCCAGTGCACGAATCTTCGTGCACCAGGCCCCTAGTAATAATAATAAAATTTAAGTGCCAGGGACACAGAACACATGCAAACGTTAGCTCTTATGAGGAAGACTGTGATTGTGACTTCTGGCTACCCCCAGGGAGTGGCGGTCCTGGTGAGGAAGCAACACCAAGGGCAGGCCTCGGCCCAGCACAGCACTGATCCTGGCAGGCAGCCCATCTGCAGAGGCGAGGAGGGCCCTATCCTGGAGGTACAGGCTCGCAGCATCCAAGCATAGGACCAGGGGCAGGCGGCAGAAACTTCTACCAGGTCACTTGAGGGACCCTTGTAAGTCTACATCTTTGTTTTTCTCACAGCTTGAAAACTGTCAAAGGATTTATCATCCTGAGGATTTACCGTGGCTGCCACAGCTGACAGTGAGCTGACCAGGCCCTGCTTCCAAGGCTACCTCACAGGGCTGTGATTGGAAATGAGATAACACGCATGAAGTGCCTGGTGAACTGTTGTGTGCTGAGTTGATGGCAATGATTGCCTACCACACCGAGCCATCCTCGATTTTCGGAGACATGCATTCAGCTGCGGAGGTGAGGACCTGGCTGAGTTATCCACACCCTGTCTTCTGGGTCAGGCACGCGTTTCCCTGGGTCACTGGTTCACTCCGTGAACATGACATAGCCTGAAACTCTATCCAGCCCTTCCGGAAACTAAATCTGTAAAACCGTGGCCTCACAGGCTTCCTGTTCTAATCAGATGAGACATCCAGCCACGGGGAAAACCACACAGTCAGTTGGCGACAAATGGAGAGTCATGGGATCTTGGAGGCAGAGTTCAGACACCAGCTCTGCCCCTCGCTAGCTGGGTGACCCTGGATACGTCACTTGCCCTCTCAGTTCAGTCATTTGTAAAATGGAGCAGTGATGCCTAGTTCATGCGTTGGGAGAAGTAAATGAGACCATATATGTCACACTGTAAGTCAACAAATGGTGGCGGCAACTTCATCTCCCAGGGCCTCTAATTCGTCACCTGCGAATGGCGGCCATTGCTGCTCCCTGGCACGACTGTTGTGAAGATGAACTGAGACCATGTATGGAGCAAGCCCAGGATTTAGCTCAGGACTGGAAGCTCTACCGACGCTGGCCCTAGGTTTGTTTTATTCCCCAGTGACCGCCCTGTGCCTTGCAGGGTGCCTGGCACACGTGGAGGCACTCAGTGAACATTTGTGGAGTGAATAAACGAAGTACTGCAGGTTTCATTAACTTCTCTGAGCCTCGACTTCCTCATCTGTAAAATGGGCACATCAACACTTACCTGGGAGGGCTGCTGTGAAAACCAAGGGGCCTACAGCAGATATTCCAAACATTCTGGTACACCCCACGCCGGGAGGCCCACTGAGCATGCCCTGCACCCCACCCCCTAGGCAGACACCACAAGAGACAGCTGGGTAAGTAAGAGTAATGTTTACTGAGCGATACAGGACTGAGTACTATGAAGGGTTTACCAGGATGGAAATGCACCCCACCCCCACCCCTGCCACCCCCAACACCCAGAGACTACAGTACTTAGGAGTTACACGCAACGGCCATAACTGCTGAATATCTGTTCGTAACAAACAAACCATAGCATATTTATACTGTATCACATCGAGTGATTATAGAAATCCATTTATATATTGCTTGTATAAAATCTTTTTTTTGTAAAAAATATTAAAAAAACAAAACAAAAGAAAGTATAAAAAAACATGTGCAGTTGAAAGCCCTGCCAGGACAGCCAGTCTGTAAACATTCAGTGAGTATGTGCTTTGGAAGGGCGCCCGCGCCTCGTGCCCACAGCAACTCCAGCAGGGCCGGCGAGGGTGCGCCCCGGCTGCCACTCCGGGCAGGACCGAGCTGGACCACGGTGGGTGGGTACAGCAGGGCCTGGCACTGTGCCCTTCTCCAGCCTTGCCTTGGGATCAGGGTCAGGGTCAGGGCTGGGGGCAGGCAGATTGCAGTTTCACTCTGAGTTCCATCCTCAGCCGAATTTTGGTTGCAACTCATGGCTTTTCCTGGCTGCTCGGAGGTCCTTTGGGTGGGTGCCCTGGCGGAGAGGCCGGAGAAGTGCCCACAGCTGCCTGGTTGGGCGTCTCTCCGGCCCAGAGCCTCTGTCCTGCCTCCTGCAAGCCTGGCCCCAGGCAGAACAGGCCCCCCTCAGGACTACTTTGGTCTCAGCGCTTGGTCCTGGGTTTCATCAGCCTGGGTTTCTTCCCCTGGTGTGGCTGATCGGAGTTTCACAAAAAAGCCGGGCTGATGCTGGCTGTGCTGAGCCTCATTGAAGAGTTTTTCATGCAGCAAGGACGAGCCCTCTGGGACCCTCCTCCTCCTCCCTTTCCCCATCTCCTCCTCCTCCTCCTCTTCCTCCTCCCAGCCCATGGTCACTTCTTCTCCAGCTGCTCCAGCAGTGGGTTGCCTTCTGAGTCGGGGGTCTTAACGCTGTCGGTCCTGACGATGCAGGTGGGGCGATGCCGGTTGAGCATCAGGATGAGCTGCTGCCGCTCCTGCTTCAGCTCCTCGATCTGGGTTTTCAGCTCCGCGTTCATGAGCTCCAGCCGCTCAGATTCCTGTGCGCAAACACAGAGACATGGCGGTCAGCTTTCACAGGCTGGGGACCGGCTCTGGGGACAGGCTCTGCCTTTGAGGAGGAGTAAGGCTAGCATCTCCCTGCTTTCTCTAATCCTCACCCGAGGATATTTTTCCATTGATTTTTAGGGAGAGTGGAAGAGAGAGAGAAAGACAGAGAGAAACATCGATGTGAGAGAAACACATCAATTGGTGGCCTCCTGCACGAGCCCCAACCAGAGCCCAGGCCGGGAAGGAGCCTGCAACCAAAGTTGCCCTTGACCAGAATCGAACCCAGGACCCTTTGGTCCGCAGGCCAACGCTCTATCCACTGAGCCAAACCGGCTAGGGCAACATTTCCCTGCTTTCTGTCCGCCAGGTTCCCACTGGAGGAAGCACAGAACCTGCTCCTCAGCCCCTGGGATAAGTGACTTTCTGCAAGCAGCGTCCGACACGCTGTGACACTGCCCTGTGTCCCCAGGGAGATGAACCCAGGCAGGCTCTGCCTGGGCCAGCCTGGCTCATGTCCCACCTCTCTGCCCTCACTCAGTCCTCTACAAACACAGTGGCTTCCTTACTGTTATTCAAATAGGCCCAACACTCTCCTGCTTCGGGGCTTTTGCACAAGAAACAAAAGGTGGGAGAAGACTGGAGGCCGAGTGGGCCTAGAACAGGTGCACAGAGGGTCCACAGAGGTGGCCCCTGGGTGGCAGGGAAATGGCCAAGTGCTTTGAGGGGTGACAGATGCATGCTGCGGAAATTCCGGCCTCTGGAAAGAACAAGATGGTCGTGTAATTCCTTCTACAACACGTGCTTCCTGGTTACTAGCCTATAATTGTTTGAACGGCCTCTTCCTACCGTGTTATCTAGAAGCTTTGCCCATTGAGAGGCAATAACAGTCATTCTTCTTGACCCAAAGTGAGGTTTCCACTAGACCTCAGGAGAGATGTCCAATGACCTTCCAGCGCAGTTGGAGCGGCTCCAGGGAAAGGAAAGAATGTTGGTTTGATCTGGGGATTTGTATGTTTATCGTGTGGATAGTGAGGGGCATACCAATTAAAGCCTCGGGGAGCAAAACAATAAAACAGAAAAGCTCCTTAATGATTTTCCTTGGACTGAGTCTAAAAACTTATAACCAGTCTGGGAGCTGGAATTTATTCAACTTTGGCCGGCAAAGTTTTAGGCCAGCAGTTCTCAACCAGGAGCAATTTTGCCTCCCAGGAGACATCTGACAATGTTTTCGGTTGTCACAACTGGCGAGGGGGCTGCTCCTGGCACCTCGTGCTGGGAGCCAAGGGCGCTCCTGAACGCCTGCCCTGCAGTGCCCAGGGTGGCCCCACAGAAAGAACTGTCTTGTCCCAAGTGTCAACAGTGCTGAGGTTGAGCAACCTGTATTAGACAGAGAACAAGCTGCGGTTGCAACTGTGTGTGTGACAACAGGCCATGTGGCCCTGGCTCAGGCCCATGACTGCCCTCCACCTGGGGGGGGGGGGGTGGCGCACACCCCCCGGGCGCTGTCTTCCCCACACCAGCCGGTCTGACTAAGCTGTGCCTTGTGCTCGTCTCTGAGGGGGCAGCGTCAGCGTCCAGGGACCTCGGGACTGCTGAGACGTGCGGTCCTCGTGACTAGATGCTGAGGGAGAACGGCTTCACAGAAAGGGGGAAAATTGCTCAGTGGGAAAATATTAAAACTCAGCTATGGTGGTTTTTAGTTCAACAGGATGAGGTGCCACAGGGGGGCTGGCCTGGGCCACTGTTCTCGGAATCCCGAGAGAAGTCCACCTCTGAGGGCCAGGAGCGACCCCACGTGAAACCATGAGGCCCTGACTCGTCAGTCTGGGGCCGGGAGGTGCGCATCTTAGCCACTGGCTCCCTGAGTCTGAGGAGCTCCTGACCTTGGGAATCTCACAAACCCGCTGACCATCTGGCTCTCCCCAGGCCAGGCTCTGACTCTGGGTCATTCTGAGCCTCTGCCCCACCCACCCATGAGCATCTGCTGAGGACCTGTGAGCACAAGGAGGGCTCTGGAGAAACCCAGCCCGTGAGCCCCCAACACGGCTCTCGTATGGCTTCCACTCTGAGGGGAAGAAGAATCCACACAGTAGGGCAGAGCCCACTATGTGCCCGTCAGCCAGGCTGCGTCTGGGAGACCTTCCGAGGGGACTGAACGGCCAGGTCTGAGGCTGGGTTTGAAAAACCAGTGGACTCTCTGGTTGAGTAGAGAAGGTTGGTGGGAGTGAGGGATTGCAGGAAGGGAGCCCCGAGTGAACGAGGACACAGACATGGAAACGCTTACGATGTGGTTAGGAGATAAAGTCGCCCATCATGACCATAGGTCATTTTAGGACGGAGTGGGGTACGTAGAAAGCTGGGAAGGTGGCGTGGAGCCAGCCTGAAAAAAGCTTTAGGATTTCAAATAAGAGTCCACAGCAAGTTTCTTAACTTCTCCGAGCCCTGGTTATCTCATCGGTAAAAAGGTGATGATCCTGCCCTAACCGGTTTGGCTCAGTGGATAGAGCGTCGGCCTGCGGACTGAAGGGTCCCGGGTTCGATTCCGGTCAAGGGCATGTACCTAGGTTGCGGGCACATCCCCAGTGGGGGGTGTGCAGGAGGCAGCTGATCGATGTTCCTCTCTCATCGATGTTTCTGGCTCTCTATCCCTCTCCCTTCCTCTGTGAAAAATCAATAAAAAAAATATTTTTTAAAAAAGGTGATGATCCTGGACTCGCGTGGGAAAGGCACTTTGTAAACCGAAGGGTTAGGGAGGCTTAAGGAATTTTACTCTAAGCGGTGAGCAACAGAACAGGAAGCAAGAGAAGGGGGAGAAGAGGAGGAGGATTTCCAGGAAAGCTTGGCAGGTCTTGGAGAATGAGAGACAGGGACGAGAGCTGCCTGTGAGCCTGGGGGAGGGGCTGTTCTGGAGAGTAATGGGGAAGGACAGAGAAGGGAATAGGTTGTAGGTACAGTGAGTGGAAGTTACGCAACCCAGATGGTGTGGCTCAGCGGTTGAGCGTCAACCTATGAACAAGGAGGTCACGGTTCAATTCCCTGTCAGGGCACATGCCCAGGTTATAGGTTTGATCCCCAGTAGGGGGCGTGCAGGAGGCAACTAATCAATGATTCTCTCTCATTATTGATGTTTCTATCTCTCCTCCCTTCCCCTCTGAAATCAATAAAAAATAAAATAAATTTTTAAAAATGGACACATAAGGGTCAGTGTCCAACATGCAGCGTTCAGTATTGTGCACAGATCCACCTCCTTAAAATGAATGTATGTCAACCCAGCCTTATGTGCGAACATCTGCATCACATGGAAAGACCAAGCAGGTGTGTGGCGCCTTGCTTCACACATGCGTTTATCACAGGGACGCCGTGGCATTTTGTTGGCCAACCTGGCTTTCTCTCTGCAGCTCCCACAAGAAGGACCATGTCTGCTCCTGCATGTATATCCCCCAGTGTACATAGCACAGTGCTGGGCACCTGGTACATTCTTAAAAATACTTGTCCAGCCGGCATGGCTCAGTGATTGAGCGTCGACCTATAAACCAGGAGGTCACAGTTCAATTCTCAGTCAGGGCAGATGCCCAGGGTTGCAGGTTGTGGGCTTGATTCCCCAGTGGGAGGTGTGCAGGAGGCACCCAATCAATGATTCTCTCATCATTGATATTTCTCTCTCTCTTTCCCAATCCCTTCCTCTCTGAAATCAATAAAAATATATTTTTTAAAAAGACTTGTCAACAAATCAGTGGATGAGTAAAAGAATAAACAAACAACTAAATGAATGCACAAATGAATGAATGCAGTAGAGCCAGTATAGCAGAGTGTTAAGAACAAATACTTTGAAGTTAACTTGGGCTCGAGTCTCAGTTCTACCACTTAGTTGCTGAGGGACCTGGGCAAGTTTTTAACCTTGCCATGCCTTAGTTTCCCCATCTGCAGAAAGAGAATCATGAAGGCATGTATCTCATAGTTATTCTGCCAATAAAATGAGATAATAGACACACAGCAGTTAGCACAGTGACCAACTTTACAAAAATTAGCAACTACTGTTCATGGTTGCATACTGTAGAAGAGAGCCTGGCCCATGCTGTTATCATTATATATTGTTACCCTTATTATTTAGAAATGAAGAAGGGCTTGGGGCCTGGGGGGGGGCGGGGCGGGCTGGAGATCACTGGCCTGGACTCTGGTCACGTTCCTTCACTGCCATCTGCCATTTCTGAGAATCAGGAAAGGCCTCTCTGATGGGACTCAGCAGAGAAAGAACAATCGCCTGCTTGGTACGTTCCAGTGAAAGGGCAGGGGCCTGCTCTGAGGGCCGAGAGGAAAGGCAGCCCTCCTCTGGCCTTTGCATCAGAGCTGAACTCTGGTCCCCGGGGGCAGGAGCAGAGGCCAGCCAGCTGGGGGCAGAGCTGGAAGAGCCTCCTGCAGCTAAGGGAGGAGCTTTTCTCTGCCCAGGTGCTGTGTCCACGGCCCATGTGCATGGTGTTATCACCAACTTCACCAGCACCCACCCTAGACAACTTTGGTAGCCACCAGGGTACCAAAATGGGCAGTACCAGTCCTGGGCCAACTGGGTCCGTCAGCACCAGGGTCTAACCTCAGTGGAGGGAGCGTGGCTGCTCCCACCTTCTCTGGCCCCCCAGGGATCTGGGTGGGCTGGGCTGGAGCTGCTGCAGGCTGCCCTTAGCTGTCTTGATTCAGGATGGGGCATCAGACGGGGGCCGGGGAGAGCAGGTACTCATCGATTCCTGCAGCGTTTGATGACGTCTTTTGATCCACACAGCCCCCTCCCTGCCCGGCCAGCTGCCCTGCTCACCCGCTGCAGAAACTCCGTCCGCTCCTTCTTCTTGTTCCGGCATCGGGCTGCCGCCACTTTGTTCTTTTCCCGGCGCCTTTTCCTCCGCTCCTCTTCCTCGTCTAGCTGTGAGGGCCGAGAGCCACTGATTAGACACTGAGACAGGCCTGGAGCAGAGCTTCCCTCCTGCCACACAGACAGACAGATGGACAATCCGCTTCCTAACTCACGTCTCAGCAGTGAGGGAGCCGTCCCTGTCTGCCAGCTCCCTGGCCTCTCAGCTGGTGACATGGAAATACTGCCCAGCCAGCCCGAGGACCCTCTCGGAGCAGGTGGGCACCCCTGGGGGGAGTCAGGGTGCCAGGCGGGCAGGGCTGCCTGGGTTCGGCCAGAGTTCAGGAGGTCCGAACCTGGGAGTCTCCTCACACAGAGGTAGCATCCAATGGTGATGGTCTGCTCTCCTGCCCAGCCCAAGCCCTCTGGGCACTATTTTCCAGGCCAGCAGTTCTCAGGCATTTCCTTCAAAACCACCTTGGGCGTGGGCGCAGCTTTTGCATTCTGCCCTCACCTCCCTGAGGTACCTTCTTCCTCCCTCTTGGTCCTTCCAAACACTTGGGTTTATCTCCTTGTCAACTAAACAGTCTCCCAACCTCCTCGCCTGGCTCTAACTCTCTTACCTGCATGTTCTCCCCCAGGACACCCACCTGTATCCCAGGGTCCCAAGGCTCCCTAAAGTGCCCTGCACAGGACACAGGCAGAAGGGCCTCCCGAGCCTCTGGACTTACTTCCCCCCAGGACACGTTAGGAAATGCACCACGGCATGAAAGAGGGCCCAGGACATGGGAAGGAGGAAACCCTGCCCACCAACACTGGCTTTCAGTCAAAGCGGCAGCTCTTGTGTCATCTATATATAAAAGAAGCCAGTGTCCGTGATGACCAGGAGGACCAAACGACCGGTCACCATGCGGTGCATTGAGCACCTCTCGGTCCCTTCTCCCCACCACCACCACCGCGAGCAGCGGCTGGCATGGCGCTGGAGGGCGGGGGCGGCTCGAGGAGGTGGTGGCTCACGCATGATTCTGTGTGCTGGGCTTCTAGTTAATAATAATGAGAGCTGCTGCTTGCTGCCTACTTTGCTAAATGCTTTAAATATAGGCCACATAATTCTCAAAATGTCTGATGATGAAGGCCCTATTATTGTCCCATTGAACAGATGGAGATACTGAGGCTCAGCAGTTCAATATATCCAAGGCCATTCATCTAGGACCGTGGTCGGCAAACTGCGGCTCGCGAGCCACATGCGGCTCTTTGGCCCCTTGAGTGTGGCTCTTCCTAAGCCTTAAGAGTACCCTACTTAAGTTAATAACAATGTACCTACCTATATAGTTTAAGTTTAAAAAATTTGGCTCTCAAAAGAAATTTCAATCGTTGTACTGTTGATATTTGGCGCTGCTGACTAATGAGTTTGCCGACCACTGATCTAGGGAATGGCGCCGTCGGCATTCCAACTCGGATTTCTGTGACTTCAACCTTCCTGCTCTTGCCCACTGGCTCAGCCCATCAGGATCACTTTGATGTGATGCCTCTCGTGGTCCGTTACCTGCAGGAGAATCTGGAGGACACACGCCCAGGTGGTGTGGGGACAGCCTAGGGTCAGAGGCCATTAGAGAGGTCATGGATTGCTCTGGGCTTGCCAACTGTCTCACTTCTCGAGCCAGTGGGGGTGATTCTGGCAGCCTGAGACCTGGAACAAGGTCTCAGCCGAAAGGGCTTTGGGCCAGGAAAATAAACAGCTTCTCTCCATGCACTCCCAGCATGCTCTGGGAGGTCAGGACCCAGGGCCTGGGCCGAAGACCAGCACCCAAGGCCATTATCACAGCCCCTGGCAGGGCAGCCCCTTCTCTTTCTCCACCACCTCTGAGCTCCTCTCTGCCCCACTCCCACTCCGCCTGGGAGGCTGGCTGGAGAGGTGCCTTGTCAACACGGCCGCACCCACGCACCTCCCAGCCCCTCAGCCTCCTTTGAAACAGAACCAGAAGTGACAGCTCCTCTGGCTGACCCGCATCTGGGAAAATAGAAACCTGGACAAAATTGATTCCGCCCAACCTCAACCTCACCCCCAACAAAGCAGAGGTAACCGTGACGACAGGCAGAGGGAAGGAACTGGAGGAAGTGGCAGGCGGTGCAATCTCCCCTCGGCCAAGAGGGTTTGCCCACAAACTGCTAAGGTGATGTGTGCAACCTGAGCGCTGCTGGGCTCCGGGCCCCTCCCCCGCCCCCCAAGAACACCCTGGGTTCTGGCAGAGCAGCCGTTTCCTAGGAGACACAACCTCTGTCCTCCAAGACCCAGCTTCCTACCCCACCCCAGTGCAGGGCCTCATCCTACATCAAGTTGGGGGCGAACAGAAGCCGCTCGAGCAGCAGGCTCAACGAGGGCCGAACGCTGGAAGTTTAAGAAATCAACCGGGCCAGGCTGATGCCCAGACAGAGGGCTGCTCTACCCGCTCCTCCAGCCACAGTGATCCCCTCCTGCCATCACCCTCTGCCCCAAACCTCTCATCTTTCTGCAAGCTAGCCAGGCCCTCCTGAGATGGCCTTCCTTTCCCGTTTGGAAAACTCTTACTCAACCTTCAAGAGCAAATGTCACCTCCTCTAGGAAGGCTCCTTGGACTCCGGATAGAATTAACGGCCCTGGCTGTGCTGCAACAGCACTCTGAGTGCCCTGCTGTAGGGGTCTATCCTCTCCCACCATAATTCTCTGATTACGTAGGACCTGACTTCCCCGCTGGGGACCTCGGCATCCCCAGCACCTGGCACAAAGCATGGCACTTAGTAGGAGCTCAGCAAATGTCAGTCGAATGAATGAATGAACAAAGGATTATGGAGAAAAATGACACAGGTTTGGATTCTATCATATAAAAAGTAACTTATGGCCTGTTTTGGTATCTGCATAACCTTTTCCCCAGGGCCCATAGGAGCCTTCTCTGCTGGGATAGCCTCTCTGTCTGCAGGTGGCCAGCAAAGCTTAGGGATTGGGTCCCGTCTTCTCAGAAGCACATTGGCTGAAGGCAGAGCCTAGACTCAGGGTACAGGGCCCTGGTGGCTGTGGCAGGAATGCTCTAAGCCTGAGCAGGTCCTCAAGGTATCCAGGCTGTGCACCGAAGCCCAAAGCCTCCAGTTCCACAGCCACTTGGCACGAGCTTCCAAGGTCATCCCCAGGCCTTTCTGCATCCACGCCCCACCTTGGCTGACATCCTCCCAATGAGGCAAGAAATGACCCCAACGCTCCATCACCACACCTTCCCGATTGGCACTGCTGCATCTCCCCCCAAATCCTCCTGCTGCTGTTTAAGAGCCACCCAGAGAACTGGAGAAAACAGCTGCTGAGGCCCCACCAGATATATGGCACTGGGCGGTGCCCCTCAGCCTTCTCCATCCCCACGGGCTGACTCTGGCTCCTTTTGCCTGGGCCTGTGTGGTCTTCACGCCCCAAATGGGACCGTTTGGAGACCCCCCAGCCCTCCTCAAGCCCTCTTTCATCCCCAGAGTCAAGGCTGCTGCCCCTCCTCCTGCCGCTCCCTGGATTAAAGCATTTGGGACGTGAGTGGGTGAGAGACAGCAGACTGTTCTCATCACACAGTTCAGGCATCTAAAACTGGAACCCAGAACGGGAGGTGACAGTTTCTTCTGCAGATGCAGCTGGAAGAACCAGGCTGCCTGAGGAGGAGGCAACTTGACATTCAATACATTTAAAGAACCAAGAGATGGGGGTTAGGGGATGGAGGGGAGCCTATCTTTTCTGTTCTCAAACTTAGTTCTGGCTCTGTTTTTCTACAATTCCCAGGCAAACCTGGGGCAAAGCTGTGAGGGACTTGGGGATCCATGCCAAGAGGGCCTCCTGCTGAGCCGTCCCACCTCAGGGAGCCTGTTCTCAAGCCCCTGGACACAGCTGACTGGACAAGGGGTGAGTGGCTGACCCGAGCTGGGCTGCATTTGCCTCCAGGAAATTTAAAATTGAACTGCCGGACTGGGGAGCAAGCCACCTCAGCCATGTGCCCAGAGGAGCAGGAAGATCAAGATGCTGGAGCTGCCGAAACCGGTTTGGCTCAGTGGATAGAGCGTCGGCCTGCGGACTGAAAGGTCCCAGGTTTGATTCCGGTCAAGGGCATGTACTTGGGTTGCGGGCACATCCCCAGTAGGAGATGTGCAGGAGGCAGCTGATCGATGTTTCTCTCTCATCGATGTTTCTAACTCTCTATCTCTCTCTCCCTTCCTCTCTGTAAAAAATCAATAAAATATTAAAAAAAAAAAAAAAGATGCTGGAGCTGAGCAGAGACTAGAGACCATGTGACAAGAGAGACACACGCACTCAGCTCTAGGAGGGAGTCAGAGAGGCAAAGAGAAGGCGGGGTGACAGAGAAAAACAGGGCCTGGACCAGGACGAGGCAAGCAAGGTGCCAGGGACACACATTTAAGGAAGCACTCAACTCTGGGGCTCATGCAGGAACAGGGTCAGCAGCCAAGAGTGAGTGCCTCCTTAAATGCCATGCCCTGGGCATCTTACTTGCCTCACCCAAGCTACAGACTGGGAAAGGTGAAGACGGAGACAGAGAGGAAAGAAACACAGAAAACAGAGACAAAGAGAAAGACAAAGAGGCAGAGCCCCCGAGACACACACAGAGACACAGGCAGAGGCCAGTGGTACAGACAGACTGCGCGGACAGACAGGAAGCACACACAGACACAGAACCTCTCCTGGTCCTCCAATTCCACCCCTGGAGAGGCCTGGCTGAGCTTCCCGTCCGTGGGGTCCATGGTGCACACACACCCCTGACTCTACCCAGAAAACCTCTGCCTGGAGGGAGTCTGAGGAGGTGCCTGCCTCTTGCCACTGGAAGATGCCAGGACACCAGGGCCCCCCTGGTGAAGTCACGTGATGCCGGGTGAAAATGGAGGAGTAGAAGGCGGTCCCCAGTGAGCCGGGGGAGAACCACTGCTACCCAGCAGCCAGCTTCTGGAACAGCTGGAAAGCGGCAGCCTGGGCGCAGAAGGGCTTCTGGACAGGAGAGGAGGGCACCTCAGCAGGAATCCAGTACCTGGGTTCGGAGTCCAGTGGGCTAACTGGCCTCAGTAAACCACCCAGGACAGTCTCCTCCCCACCTTCGCAGATGAGGAAACTACAGAAA